CTATAAGCCGCACTGCCGGTTTTGGGTCAAATTTTAGGATTTTCAGTGCGGCTTATAGTCGTGAAAATACGGTATTGAAAATTTAAGGAGGGACGTGGTGCTCGGTAGCTAGGATGCTGAGCTTGTTGATGAGAAGGTTGGCAGTTCAGCGGTTCGAATCCCTAGCACCGCGTAACGGAGTAAGCTCCCGTTATTTGTCCCAGCTTCTGCCAACCTAGCAGTTCGAAAGCATGTGAAAAATGCAAGTAGAAAAATAGGGACCGTTTTGGTGGGAAGGTAACAGCGTTCTCTGTGTCTTTGGTGCTTAGTCATGCTGGCACATGACCAGAGAGATGTCTTCGGACAGCGCTGGCTCTTTGGCTTTGAAACGGAGATGAGCACTGCCCCCTACAGTCAGGAACGACTAGCACATATGTGCGGGAGAACCTTTACCATTATTGAAGATTTAAATGTATAGCAAAGCTCATCCTATTGTAGATGCGTTTTGGTTTTACAGGGGAAAAAAGGTTCACCTGTTGTGGAAAATTTTCCTTTTCATCTTTTCAACCAAGCATTTTCCGTTCTATATTCCACACAGTTTTCTTCTTTTCATCCTTTGTATTAATACAGGGCTTTTTCTGTACTTATCGACTTTCCCCTACATCTTTTGTTCTTATTCTTCTGCAATTTTCATTTTCTTTTTAAATTTGCAACTATATTATGATTCTTGACTTGCATTACGAACAATGTGAACTTGTAAAACATAGGTAGAGTACATATATAAGTGTATGTTTGTATTATAATTATATTACATTTATAATATAAGTATAAACACGAGCCACGGTGTCGCAGTGGGAAGATTGCAGTATTGCAGGCTAATTCTGCTGACTGTCAGTAAAATGAAGACCCACATTGTTGAGGCAATATGCTGACATTGTAAACCACTTGTAGAGAGGGCTGTAAAGCTCTATGAAGTGGTATATAAGTGTAAGTGCTATTGCTAATTCAGCCGATTGCCAACAGTTTGATTCTCACCGGCTCAAAGTCGACTCAGCCTTCCATCCTTCTGAAGTCGGTAAAATGAGGACCCACATTGTTGGGGGCAATATGCTGACTCTGTAGACTGCTTAGAGAGGGCTGTAAGTCACTGTGAAGCAGTATATAATTGCTATTGCTAAATGCTTCCAATTTCCAGCAAAAAAATGCCCATTGCAGAAAGTGAGTTCACCTAATGACTATATTCACTTAATGACCACCACATAATTTTTGTAAAATCAGGTCGGTCACATGACCTGCTTAACAACCAGCATGATTTTGATTAGTAATTCCAGGCTCAATTGCAGCCATAAGTCAAGGACTACTTGAAATTCCTTTGTCATTGTGAGAAGCCATGAAGGGAGTTATGGGAATCTGAAGAGTTTCAGCATGTACTGAAAATTGTTGTATTTCATTTTGAGGAAAGCAAAAGGTGGTAGAAGAAAAGCTCAATCTCTCAATTTATGTTTTGATTTCCCATAGTTTTAATTTTCCCTCTCTCTCCCACTTAGTACATTCTACTTGGGGGTGGGGGTAGAGAGAGAGAGAGACAGAGAGAGAGAGAGAAGTTCATGATTCTGTAATTTATATAGCCGATTGTCAAGTATGCATCCCCAAAGACTGTGGTTCCAGCTTATTGGAAGAGATAAAGCAAATCAAGGATTTAAGAGTTATGAGCTTGTGAAACCCTTGTCAGTTTGAGTAACTGTTATGAGAGTGGATCAGAATCAGACTTAACCACATCTAAGGCTGCAGCTGTATTTCCTGATTATAAAAGATTGGCACTGGTAATAGAAGATAGGCACAAAACAAAAAAATGGTGTGGGAAACCAAGGCTAAAAAAAGTGGTTTCAAAGTTACTTAGGCATAGCTCTAAAACAGGGGTGTCAAACTCGATTGAGGGGCCACATCAGCCTTGTGTTCAACCTCGGGAGGCAGGGTGGGGGTGGCCAGCTATACGTCACTCATGTCAGGAGTGCCTTTGCTGGCCCGAGAGCTCTCTGCCAATGAAAATGGGCTGTTTCCAGGGTGGCCCTGTGGGCCAGATCTAAGTACCCTGCGGTCTGGATCCGGCCCCTGGGTCTTGAGTTTGACACCCCGGCTCTAAAAGAAAGCAAATCACCAAACGGGCTATCAAATACATTGCATAAAATAATCTGTCATGCAATGTGTATGGGTCTCAAGTTATAAATTGTTGAAGCAATTGACTTTTTGTGCATTCAAATTTTTCCCCTCAGACAGCGTATTTCTTTCAGTAAAATGCCTACTAAGCAAAAATGTCACACATACTTTGTTATGTAGAGGGCATAACTATTGTTATTTTCTTTAAGGGCACGCAGCCACCCTATCTAAAATTGAGAGGATGAATTCCTGGTAAATCTCTCAGTACATATAAATATATCTTGGCAATGCTTTGGGCACCCTGGCACAAGGGCTTTCGCAAATTTAAAATACAGCCCTGCCATTCAGCGGCATTCATTAGCATTCAAAAATAATTTATAACAACTAAAATAACTTTGTACCAAGAAGACAAGTAAACTCTTTTCCCCCTAGGCAAGATCCAGTCACCCACTGTAATTACAAACAATTTTCTCAACATGCAATTGTTTCCTGTGCTTTCTGAAATCCTGCTATGGAAGAGCTTTAGCTTCTGTCTATAAAGGATCCCTATGTTTAGATCTCTAATACCATCTCCATTTTTAAATTTGGTTGGTTTAACAGTGTGGTTTGAGTTGAAGACTTTTTTGAACCAAGTTGTTGAACTTAACCAGGTGTGTCAAACTGGATTTCTTTGAGGATCAGCATTGAAGTTGTCCTCCGCGGGCTGGCCAGGCGGGAGGGGAGGGACAGAACGGATAGCATATGGGGCAGCGCCTCCTGCCGGCCAAAATGCCCATGCCCCAATCCAGGCTGAAAAGGGGGACCGTGTGCCCCCTCCACGCACTCTGTTTTTGCTAGCAGAGGGACCGCAGGCTGGTTCCCTTACTATTTCCAGACCGACACCGTGGGCCAGACCTAAGCACCCCACGGGCCAGATGTGGGCCATGGACATTGAGTTTGACACCCTTGAACTAAACGGCTTTGATTTTTCAAGCTTTTACATTTCATAATAAATGAAACTGGTAGAAGTGTTACCTCTCTGTTCTTTAAAACTGACTGAGGTGTCCTGACAAGGTGCAATATCTGAAAATATGGTTTCAAATGATGCTTGTGCAGTTATTTGTGTAAGAAGAATTTGCTTGCACATGA